CCCACCCACTGTGGTCCCTTCCAACCTGACCCATCCTGTGATTCTGTGACAAGTCTGACCTAACACTGCACCTTTCCCACAGCTGTACCACAAGCTGCACAAAGCTTACGAGCTGGAAAGGGCTCCCACCAGGAAGAGTGGCTTATTAGTTGCCTCTTTACCTCCCAGCAGCAGCAGCATCTGCTCATGGCACGAGATAAAAGGTTATTTTACGGCAAGTCTGCCCTTCCCCATCCTGGCAGTTGCCTGATTACCTCCTACTTTGAGCTCCTGCAGGTTGCCATTGTACTGTGAGCAGTGGAAGAAGAGCCTGGCTTGCCGTTCCGAGCACTGGATGAAGCCATAGGAGGTTAGCAGCTTCTCTATAACCCCAGTCTCACGCAGAGCTGCCGAAGTACCGTTGGGGTACCCGTTGTGTCCATTGTTGTGGAGCAGGTTTGGATCAAAGCTCATCTGTTGGAAAGAAAGCACAGGGAGAAAAAGCAATCCTTCCATCAGTTTCCTTTCTCCATGTCCCCACAGCACAGTAACTAACACAAAGAGCTTGGGGAAGTTATGGGTATAAGTTAACTGTAAGAGATTTTTAAAACAGAGTGAAAACACTAAAATAGTGAAGCTTTTATAACATAGGAATGACTAAAATCTACACAGGCAAAGTATTTAAAAAACAGGCCAGAAACAGAACACCAAAATAAAGCTTAGAGCAAAACAAACTTCAGAGTTTTTAAAGCATTATCCCCCAAAACACTCCCACACTAACTACTTCACACCTGAGCCTGGAGATACCTGAAGAATTAAACAGGGAGATAGGGAAATGCAACAGCTGTGAATCAACATGATTAGGTTCACAGTCCTGCAAAGTTTGCCCCTAGTTCAGTCTGTCATACTAAAAAATGGCATAAGTACTGAAACAGTTTTCCAGAGCTCTGGAATTCATACCCAGATTTAAAACCTGAACATTCCTGTGGTGCAGAAACCCAAGTGCCTGCAAGGCTGAGAAAGTTTAGAAACAGCAATAACTAAAGCTGTAATGAACTGCCAAATTAACTCACATCCACTAAAACATTTTAATGGGGTGTGTCTTTCCTTTCCAAGGCAGGTTCAACCCTGAAAGCCTCACAACCCCTTTCCACTGGCTTTGTGACGTAGAAGTCTCACTTTTAAAACAAACCCCTTGGATTTACAGGTTAGTAATTAAAGCAGATGAGATGTATTACACCTCACTCAACACCAATTCAAGGAACACTGAAGCAACCTCCCAAACAGTCAATGTTCACCTCCAAAAACAGAATTATTTCTTAGTTTCCAGAGCATTTGATTTGGAGACTGAATGAGAGCAGATCTGCTCTCTGCTGTCTTGCTGCAACAAGCAGAAGAGATTGAAAGTCAGTCAGCAAGGTGTTTAGTGGAGATCAAAAAAAACCCTGAGCAACTTGTAAAATGGTCACAGTTCTCAGGCTAACACAGCCATGGAGTTACTCAACGTTCCAGAAGGTACAGATACAGCAGGTCTTGTGATGCTGTTTGGAAATGAGTTTAACAGTGATCAGAGAGAACCAAAAGACACTTGCTGTGAAGTTCTTGGGCAGAAATCTTTGGTCTTTGAGAATGCCATTTAAGAAGTGAATTGCAAGTAACTGTACAAATTAAGGACTGGCAGAATTTTGGCCACCAAGAGGAGGAGGTCTTTGCCCTCCTTCTGGTTCAGACCCACATGGGGTAGAGGCAGATGAAGAAAACAAGGAACAGAAGGTGTGGGAGCTACAGGAAGGGAAAAGGATCTCATGACACTGTGCAATGGTCTCCAGCCCACACAGCTGTGACAGCACAGTGCAGTGCTGAGGGACTACAGCCCTGGTCAGCAGTTACAAAGTACAGACTTACCACCCAAAGCTCACTACAAATGCAGTGAAGTGGTAAATCTGCCATGTTTTCTGTAATTTTCACTGCTTATCTTCTTAGTTTACCTCTCATTTTGCTTTCCACTACAAATTAGTAACAATATGTTCACTTTAATCAATCTGTTCTCTTATTCTTACCCTACCAACCTGCACTGACTGGCACAAATCAATCTCTTACATGTTCAAGTCATAAAATACTGACAGGCCAGGAAACAGTGACTTGGAGAACATGAACCCCAGCAGAGACTCTGGGAGAACTCCAGTCCATCCTCCTCCTCCACCTCCTCAGTGGCCTCTTGCCAACAACAAAGGCTTTGTCCAGCTGAGTCCTGGAAACCTTCAAGGACAGAGGTTCCACCACCTTTCTTGGACAAGTGTTGCCCCTAGCAAAGATCTCTCCCCCTCATGTCCAGCCTAAGCTGCTCAAGGGACAAACACCACAGGAGCTGCATCTTTTTTATGCACTGGATTATGTTTACAGGACACATTATCTCTGAGTATTTAACAAAAAAAAAGCACTACACAAAGCTGCTAAGATTTACTGACTAGTTCCTGTCAGCATCACTCCAAGACATGAACCCTCATCCTTACAGGAAGGCAACCCCAGGACATCCCACACCCAGGAAGATGCCCCTGTGGGAAGGCAACAGCTGAACTGTTTTAAGCCATCCTAGAGTTTGAAATACTTTTCAAAAATAAACTGGTCCTGCAAGTAGGGTGGCTGGGGGAAGGGAAAATGATATGTTATTATACCTTCTCCCAGGAGAATTACAGGCCAGGCCATTAACCCATTCCCAAAGCTGAAATGAGCATGTCAAACCCTTTCTGAGTCACAAAATGGTCTCACTTCATCTCTGAGACAAAGGAGGCAACAGACACCCTGCTCAGATACTAACAGACTACAGGTAATGCTGCTAAAGCTACACCAGACACAAGAAAAGACAAAAATCTACCTAAAAATCAGGTTCAGAACAGCTTGTCTTAGGGTTAGAAAGCCACAGTGCTGTAACCTCTTGCTTGGACTATCACTGCATGACACCATTTGAGTTTACAGGGGTATTAGCACAGCACAAAATTCATCATCCAAAGCCTCACAACTTCAGTTCAAAGCAAGGTAAAACACTCCTCAGGTGGCACCAAAAGTTTGCTGTCGAGAGAAAGATACATTATAATCTCAGCAGCCTTTCCAGATACTTGTTCTGCTGTCCAAACAATGTTACTACAACGTGGCAAAAATCAAGTTACATCCATTCCCATGTATCACCAGAAACATTGTCATAAAACTGTTACTTAAAAAGGTTCTAGCAATAGGCTACAATCTATTAATGTACAAACAAGACTTGCCTGGACCTAAAAATAGTTCTACAGACTTGTAATAGTTAGACACTGAACCAAGATATCTACCTGGCTGTGCTGCTCACTGCCAGCAGCTCACTCAGTTCACAAGAACTATCAACACCAATACAAAAACTCAGAGGGAGCAAAACACCCTGAGCAGTAAGATTAAAAGCCTAAACAGAGGTTATTTGAAAAAAACAAGGTATTGGAACCACAAACCTACTATTAGAGGCCAGAAACAACAATAATCAACTCTCCAGGGTTGTGTTGTTAAATAGAACCACATTGCAGGGCCTATTAATTCATCACACTGCTAGTGAATCAACATAACAGCACAGAATCACAGTCAGGGAATGGTTTGGGTTGGAAGGATCTTAAAGATTACCCAGTTCCACCTCCTGCCCTGAGCAGGGACACCTCCCACCAGCCCAGATTGCTCCAAGCCCCATCCAACCTGGCCTGGAACACTCCCAGGGATGGAGCAGCCACAGCTTCTCTGGGCAACCTGTACCAGTGTCTCACTATTAGAAGAGTTTATTATTAAAAACGAATTAAAACCCTACCCCACACCCTCATTAACAACTTGGCCCTTAGTAAGCTCCAAACCACCAATGTAACTATTGAGACAAGCACCAACCTCGCAGTGATATTCAAATATTGCACTTTCAGTAGTATTAGTCGATTCTTCTGTTTCAGCACAAGTTTCTAAGGATGAAGACTGCTATTATTTTAAAAAAAAGGGGGGGGAAACAAAAGAAAGAGAGAGAAAAAGAACAAGAAAAAAAGATAGCAAAAGAAGGTGATCTATCAAGCTTGAGAGAATACAAGTGCTGCTGCCCTGGGCAGTGTCACTACAGCACTGGAGAACACAGACTACTAGCAGCGTCGGGACGTGCTCTTGTGAAGCTGTTGAGTAGGCACAAACTTCTTGTTTCAGATCAAGCCTTGTATCTTCTTCAGTGTAAGTTGCCTCTTCTTTGGTCTTGAGTTGTTGTTACGATGTGGTATATCTTCTTTTCCTGATCTGAACTTGAAGCAGCAGTTTCAGGTGGTAAATTCTGTTCTGTTCCACTTCATACTGGAGGAAGGAAAAAGACACACAAAGTTTCACCGTAGCAGAAACTCTCATGGCATCACAGAATGGATTGTCTTAGAAAAAGAGCTTAAAGATCACCTGGTTCCAACCCTTACACATCACTCCTGGGTGCATTTCTTCTGCCTTAAAATCTGTAGGTTTGAGCCATGCTAGGAAAGGCTGTTTTATAGACATATTTGGCATTCCAAGTTCCAGTTTCTTTTCCAAGGAACTCTACCCCCAAACACACTTTTCTACACCCTGTGCAGTTAAGACTAAAAGCCAGTGAGATGCTATTTCCAATTCCAAACTCTTCAGACACAATTAAGCATGTCAGGAAGGTCTCAGTTTGTACAATTAAAATGGCAACTTTGTTCTGATCATTAGTATGTGACTCCTCGACAAGCCTTAGTGCTCCTACCAATACCTTTACAGGAGTGCTTATTAATTATGTCATAATTAATTACCAGGTGCTTGCACAGGCCTTCAGAGCAGCAACAGGGTATATGTATGTAAGGAATTAGAATTTCCTGACCATTTTTGTCCCAAAAGGTGAGTTAAGGACTATCAGTACCTGAACCAGTTTTGGAATTGTATAAAAATACACAAACTTTTCAATATGTACAGACACTGCAAGTAAAATAATCACATTCTCTGGGCTCACAAAACAGTTTTTGCAAGATGTTGATGGCACAGAGATGATGTTTGTGTAGGTAACATCACAGAGAACCTTCTCTGCAACAGTAACTAGCAAGTCATGAATTCCTTCCTAAAGTTTTCCAGTATCACTTTGTGTTTTAATGAGAAAAGTGGTTTCAGCCAACTCCACCTATCACATAAACCTAACCTTACAGAAACAGAAGCTTTTCCTGAGAAGAAATTGAGTCTTGAGTTTGTTGCTGACTCAAGTAGACAGTTAAAAAAAAGGGGAAGGAGATTTTTGTGGACAAAAGCTGCTCAGAAGGAACACAGCTATGAATCCATGGATACACCAGGAGTGTTCTGCAGTAACCCAAAGGTAGGGAGCATCAGAGCATGACTCTTCCCAAATCACTCCACAGGTCCCACACCAAAAGAGGAAAAACCTGGACTAGTCCATTTCCCCACTGCAGCAGGAAAGTGAATTTCACAATTCACACTGAGCTATAAATTCTCCTCAGTGAGTCAACTCAAGTGACTGAACTTGACACTGAACTCTCAGCACAGTGAGGCTCTGACTGCAGTGAACAACTGCCAGAGCTCCAAACCCCAAAGGTGTGCACACTTATCACCAGTTTTCAGAGGTTTCATCTCCCCCAGCACCACTCTGACCCTTCCAGCTGAGAGTTGTCTCATCACACCATTACACACACGTGAAAGAGATTCAGGGGTGAGGGCAGTGCCAAGCAGCACCTCCTGTGAAAGGTTTGCACTGCAAGCTTTAATTACACAGTACTATAAATCAGAAGACACAAAGCTATTGGAAAAAACCCCTGTATTATGATGACTAGACCCTTCACACACCTCAGCACTGGATTCAGGACCAGTTTACCCCAATCCCTTTCAGGACAGTGTTGTTTGCAGACAGTAGTTCAGCTCTCCAACCAGCATTCCCCAGCCAAGCTCAGGAGGAATGAAGCAGGGAAGGAACTGCATCCCAGGAACTGTACAGACACACTTGGAATCTGCTTCCTCATTTACTTCCCTCTCATTTAATCAGCCTAATATGATTAGAGCTCTCCTAGAGATGAACTAGTACAATATTGCATTTATCTTCTTTCTGTGCATCACATTTTCATCTATTAACCAAACACCTCATCAAATATGACTACAGCTAATTTATCAAGAATGGAATAAGGCACCAACCTTCCAATTAAAATCCAGTTTGAATTGATAACAAGGTATTTACTATACTTAACTCATAAAATAAAAAGCTTATCAAGCAAACAACTCAAGCAAAAAGAGAAAAAATATCTCGCTGTGCTCATCTGCCTCAAATTCTTTACTTTTTAATTCAGCTGCTATAAATACTCCTCCAAATGGTAAACACCCCGAGCAGCTGCCCAGACCCAGGTCTCTCTGCCTTGGGGGATTTAAGAGCAGAGACAGAGCTGAGTCTTGACGCCTTTCACGTTCAGGTTCTGCTAAGTGACAGCGAGTCACGTGCAGCTGCTCCCAGCACCTCTGGGCCCGCGTGGAACCTGCCCGATGACAGCACTGCTGGTCCCCATTTTCTTCACAACAAGAGGCAGCTGCAAGGACCTGCATTCAGGGCAGCAGGGCATGTGCTTCTGGAAACAGCCGCGACCAAGACCCAATTCACACGCGTCAAACTTCGCGTTTTCAGCGTGCACGGACCAACCAGCCGCTAAACACTTAAAGAGGAGAGTATTCCCTACCTTTTTGGATGGATATTGGCAAGCTGCACCGCACAGAGCGTGACAGCTCCGAGAAAAACCACCACTAGGGCA